CAGTGATCAGAGGGTCTGTCTCCAATATACATGGAGCAGGGATCAGAGGGTCTGCATCCTGTACACATGTAGTAGTGGTGATCCCAGTGTCTGTCTCCTGTACACATGTAGTAATAATCGCACTGTCTGTCTCCTGTACAAATGTAGTAGTGATCGCACTGTGTCTCCCATACACATGTACTGTAGTAGTGGTAATTAGTTTCTGTCTCCTGTACACATGTAGTAGTAGTGATCGCAGTGTCTGTCTCCTATTCACATTTAGTAGTGATGATCGCACTGTCTGTCTCCTGTACAAATGTAGTAGTGATCACACTGTCTCCTGTACACATGTAGTAGTGGTGTTTGCAGTGTCTGTCTCCTGTACACATGTAGTAGTGATCGCACTGTTTGTCTCCTGTACACATGTAGCAGTGATCACACTGTCTGTCTACTGTACACATGTAGTAGTAGTGATCGGAGTGTATGTCTCCTGTACACATGTAGTAGTAGTGATCGGAGTGTATGTCTCCTGTACAAATGTAGTAGAAGTGATCGGAGTGTCTGTCCCCGGTACACATGTAGTAGTAGTGATCGGAGTGTATGGTTCTTGTACACATGTAGTAGTAGTGATCGGAGTGTCTGTCTCCGGTACACATGTAGTGGTGATCGGAGTGTCTGTCTCCTGTACACATGTAGTAGTAGTGATCGGAATGTATGTCTCTTGTACACATGTAGTAGTAGTGATCGGAGTGTATGTCTCCTGTACACATGTAGTGGTGATCGGAGTGTCTGTCTCCTGTACACATGTAGTAATGGTGTTTGCAGTGGATGAATGGCTCTCCTCCAGCTCAGGCACACTGGCACTCTGGCAGCACCCAGACACATGAAGCGTGTAAGCTGAGAGCTGGCTCCGCCCTCCCGCTTGCTGGAGTTTCGCTCGAGCCCGGTAGCGCTGCACCACAGGTCCTGGTAGAGCCGTAGAGCACCTCGGGGAGAATTCCGGTGTAATTATCGCTGCGCTCCGCCATTCATGACCGGTTTAGTAAACCCATGCAGATGATGTGCTGTGATCCGTCCGTTCTCCTTTCTGTGCTCCGGTAAGAAATCAGCCCGTATTGCTCTGACAGGACCGTGCGCGGCCGCTGTGTCCGAGAAGGAGGAGTGATTCGGTCAGATCCGTAGATCCGCCGACGCGCACACCCCACTGCCGGGGACACGGCCACCTCCAGGGATATGATAGTCGGGCCGCAGTGAGGCGACGCCTCGGGCCTCAGCTCCGGACTGAGCGGAGAAAGGAAGCAGAGGAGGTGGGGGTGTACAAAATGGCGGACTCTGCGCGGATCCTGCCCGGCTGACTCCGGAGGGACTCTGAGCTTCGCCGTACGGAAATCAGGACTGACGGTGTGCGGAACTAAGAGCGGGGCGGAAGCTACCGGGAGCAGCGTGTATACGGTGAGTGTGGGCGGCAGGCTGTATGGAACCCGGGGCCTGTGTGATGGGGGTAGA